CGCCCCGTTTTTTAGAACTTTCTGAAAAGTCCTCCCTGCCTTGCTTTGGGGACACTTCCAGTCCCGCTTTCCAGAGCAGCTCAGACTCACAGGAAGGTAAACCTCTTCACTTTACGCTATTCCACACTTAGTTATTTCATTATATTCTCCCTAATGTGAAAAGGACATTTGATGGGTGAGATTTATTTGTGAAAGCAAAACCAAGAGCAGCAAATGCACGAGCCAGCAGCCCTGTGGACGGCGAAGCCCCGAGGGTGGCGTGTGGCCACTCCTGCCCCCCCTGCAGCCCTGCACCAGCACAGGGCCCGGGGGAGCCCGCAGGATGAGCTCGATAGATACCCATGGCATACATGAATAAATCAACGGTAGTTGTTTGGATTTCAATATAAATGGATCCTGGACCTGAAATACTGTCAGATGGGCTGACAGGGTCCAGTCTGGTGATGCATCTCCAAAGCCATAAAAACGCAACCAGTTCGGCAGTCACAGGCTGACATTTCAGCAGATGATTACATGCGCGATTTAACCACACGGCCGTCCGTGCCCTCCAACTGCCACGGCCTCAACAATTGTTTTCACGTTGGCTTTCTGGTTCATTCCTTTTTTATTTTTTTTTAAGTCAAGCACAATGTTTTTCCCAGCTCCTCATATTTCTAGCTGAATATGATTTATTCATATGAAATTAAGCTCCATTTTTATAAAACCCAAGTTACTGCAAATGATGCTTGAGGTTCCACGGCAAATATGAATTCCTGACCGGCTGCTCTAACGCGCCTCTGCGGGCTCTGCCGAGGTCTGTCTCCGAGACGGATGGCGGCAGTCACTGCGTGATTAACGCTCTCGCCATGTCCTTGCGCTCCTCTTGCCCTAGATTTCAAGATTGACCTCCCGCTTCCCTGCAAACGCAGAGTTGCTCGGCTTGATAAATCACAGGATCCTTCTTTTTTTTTTTTAATCACAGTTATCTACTATTTACTACGTAGGAAGGGAAGTTAATCACATCCAGAGGACTTCATATGCGGCACACACATCCTTCCTCCTCCTCCAGCACTTTGCATATTTTCCACATTCCCACGAGGCAGCTGCTTCCTCAGTGCAGTGTGTCTGTACCAGACACACCTCTGTAAGTAAGCCTCAGGCCATTTATCCCCGTTCTCTGCCTCTCTCTACCCCACCCAGCACAAAAATCCATACGGAGAAAAGACACTTGAGAGGCATGTTACAAGGAGCAAGCAGAAAGCATAGTGTCTTTTTTGCATGTTGAGGTTTACTTGTGATTGGCTTGTTTACCATATCAAGAATTTTGCCCCCTCTTCCTGCCCTGGTCTCCTAGTTTATTTCATTTGGGGCATCACTGGGCCTCCGGTATGCCAGCTGACACTCAAGGGCATAAAATACATGAAACACCCTACAGTTGATGGTAGAAAAGAACAAAAACCGGGCCATCCACGTGCACTGACCCTTCCCATCAGGTGGCATGAGTAAGCTGGGCTGATGCCCAGAGGTGGCTCGCACTGGACTCCCGTGTTCACCTGCAGACACATGGGCGATTTAGGCTGAACCATAAACTAAGCCCATCGCTCAAGCAAAACCAAGCAAGGCCAAAGGTTTTCTTTGGGGTTGACCACAGATAATGTTTAAATTTAGGTAATGACATATATCATAGTTTTAACTAATCAAGGTTGCGTTTTGATTACTGTGGACTCACAAAACTTTAAAGCATACAGTCAGTCAGTCTGAACGACCAGATATTGGATCTCTCCTGGAATGCCTATTTAAACCAGGAAACGGGAGCAGTGAGAAGACAGACAAGATTGGCCTCCAGAAGACATCTGGAGAGTCTCTCACCTCTGACACCTCAGGGATGAGCTCTCTATGGTCCTTACAAAGGAAAGCAAAATGCCACCCCTTTGCATTATAACTGGTCTTATTAGATCTGCCGTCCAAGCCTTAGAGGCAGAGAACAACGACAGGTTTCCTACACTGTGAACTCACATCCCCAAACCCAAGTCAACCAAATCCTATTTCATCATCAAGTTGTACATCCCCAAACAAAACGGCTCTAACTCCTGTATCACACGTCCTAGTGTCCCTGGGGGCTCTGGCGGTTATGCAGCCAAATGGAAGTGAGACAGGACCACACTGAGCGCACCAGCAGGACGCTGAGACCAGAGGCCCGAGCTGCATTGACCTGAGCCAGCCAGCCGGGGCAATTCTGTTCAACTCCAGACTTGCAGAACTCGGGCAGCACCCGTTAAGGTAAAAAAAAGTGTTCTATTTTTCTAGGATGAAAATGAAAGTGCTGCTTATGGAATTTGATATCAAGAGATGGTTAACAGGCTGAAAAATAATAGTTTTAAAACTAGAATAGTTTGTGCAAATGAATGTATACTAGACGAATAGCAAGCTTTAGGGAGCCAGAAATATTGTGGTTAGATCTCCACCTTGGGAAGGTCAGAACTGAGGGTGAATTTTTACTCAGTTCTATCCTCACCTTGAGGTGGTTCCTCTGATAGATAGAATATTGGGTTAAATCATGCAGTGGTATGACCAGAAGTCACATCCATCATTTTCTAGACAATACTGGTTTACTCAACAGATTAAGTAAGGTGATAAAAAATGACTTCTGTCCCTGGATAAGTTAGCATTCTGTAATTTAAGAAACTAGAAAACATGAATCCAATTAATTCAGTAGGTGTTTAAAGTCCTTATTTTGAAGCAGGGTTTCAAATTGTGTCGCCAAGTGATTATAGATGCTTCTCATTTGTGGAAATTGCTCGTGTGGTCCAGAAGCAGTGGGAAACAGGACAGAAGAACCTCAGAGAAGGTGGCGTTAGACACCCACATTGCTAGAACAGCAGACAAAGTCAATTCATCACTTTGAAATGAGCCAAGTTCCTCCAATTTTAGACAGAAAAACTGTTCGATTTATGGGGAAATGCCCTACTCCATGTGAAGATAGAGACATTCATGAGAAGGGCATGGATGATGGGAACTTCTGTCCCCGCTCTAGGGAATGGCTGTTTCCTTCTCAAGTGTTCTGCACTGAGTCACATAATCAACAGGGACCGAGATGCTAACTTACTAGTTGATTAGCTACTGGGTGTGACCTGGGAGGGTTGGAGAGAATATCAGAACGAAGTCAAAGGGAATGCACTGCTCATCACAAAAAGCCATGCACCTTTTCTACTCAGGACAGCGTCCTGTGTCTCTTGGGAAGAAGCCTCAGAAGATATCAGTCCTAATTTCTGATTGTATTTTGCAACCGGGTCTTTAAAGGGAGTTCACACTTTCCTAAAGTAGGTTTTGAGTCCTTCTACCAGAGGTCATAATGACATTTTGTGTCTAGATATGTACTTTTTTTTTTTTTTTAAATCCTCACCTGAGGATTTTTTCCATTTATCTTCAGATAGAGTAGGAGCGGGAGAGAAGAGAGAGTGAGAGAAACATTGAGAAAGACACATCGACTGGTTGCCTCCTGCACGACCCCGACCAGTGCCAAGGACGGAACTACAAATGAGGTATGTGCCCTTGACTGGAATCGAACCCACAACTCTTCTGTCCGTGGGCCGACACTCTAACCACTGAACCAAACCGGCCAGGGCAAGATTTGTAGTTTTATTAAAATGTAATTTATACACTACTGAAAGTATGCAATTCAATGATTTTTAGCATATTTATAGGTTGTAAAACCAACACAACAATCTAATTTTACAACATTTTAATGTCCCTAAAATAATCCTCGTAACCACGGGCAATGATGTAAGACTGTGCACTGAAGGCTTTCTCTTGCTTCTCAGTGCATTTTGTTGAAGGAATCACTTATTTAAGAAGCCAAAGGAAAAAAAAGAAATCAATGTGTCAGATTTTAAATGTTTTGATCCAGAATCTCTCCTCCTCCTACCAACAGACTCAGAAGCGGTACTGTCACCGGCTTTCGTGAGAGCCCCAAAGGAACGCCAGGGGACATGGCAGTCACTCTTGGAGCGCACCAGCTTGTGTGGTTGTCACGGGGCAGGCTTTTCAACTGAGGTAAACATACCCGGCTTGGCCTGCCCCATGGAGAAAACACTTTTCACCCATGCGTGCAGATAATTTGCCTAAGCGTCAGATTTTCCCTTGGAGAAGCTGAACTGGTCTCATTTACACAGTCGATTATTGCTCATTCCCTCCCCAAAAGAACTGGGAAGGGAGGGAGGGTGGTGACAGTTCGCTCGGTAACACTGAGGTGCCCGCCAGCCAGCCAGCCAGCCAGGGGACACCACCAGCTGTTTACGGCACAGTCAGGACCTCAAGTGTAGAACAGGGACTTCCTGATAATTCTTTAAGAAACACACACACACCCTAGCAAGTGAAGAAAGAAAAAAACCCTGACCACAACAAAGGGCCTGATCTACTATAGAAAGTAACTATAGATCCCTGTTCAACTATTCTTATACAGCAAAGCCGGATGAGAAGCACCGTTTGAGGGTGCTAGTTGATTAGGGCTGTAGATCTCACTGGAGAACACAAGTCAGAAAGAGCAGCTGAAGCACGGAGTGAAGAGTCAGGCACTCAGGACCGTGAACTGGGTGATGTGCATAAAGTATTTCAGAAGAGACTCTCATCAAAAGACAGATAGCTCCCGGGGAAATGATATGGAAAAAGTCTGAAGAAAACATCTAAAAATAAATGAAGTACTTATTGCTGAAAAATGAGCTTAGATCTCAACCAATTCCAAAGTTCAGAATTTACTGCGCTGTTCAGGCTTTTTCCTCCAGTTCCTTGTCTCTTGTTTCACTAACAACAAGGGACTCTCCACACTTTCTGTGAAATACAACAAGGCGATTTTTTTGCAGTAATAAACCCACACGGGCATGACAAATCCAAGCATGCAAAACGTTTAACACCCCAGTTCCCAGATACTTGAGGGAAAATCCGATTATGAATTATATGCCACAATAAATAGGGCTCAATGTTTCATAAAGCAATTTATAGTTCATAAAAATGACAAAACGTACCTGTCAGACAGAGCGTGGAGAGCGGTTCTCTGGGCTGCCTGATGGAAGAAAGGGCAGAGATGTTTATTTAATATTCTGACTTTTAAATTATGTGCTCAATCAACACTTAAAAAAAAAAAACCTGTGTCACACACATTTTTGCCATGTGGCCAAATATTAAACTACTAGCAACACAGTAAGAGCTCTGTCATATTATGAAATGAACACTCCTCAAGAGTTAACAAAGCCCTTGCAGTGCCCACCTGCCACCAGGGGGCGAGCTTGGGGAGGTGGGAAGGTCTCGGGAGACACCCGTCCCCACCCTGAATCAGAGCTATTTCATTTACACTCCTTGAAATCACTTTACCATTGCTTTATTCTACTTTCCTGTAAGGAAAAAAAGATCTGTTTGGGTTCCTTTATACACCTCTCCCAAATGAAGGTGTGATTTTTGACCCAGTTTTCAGATTTATTGAAAAAGTCACCACAATTGTAAATTGGAACACTGACTGGAAATATGATGATATTATGAGGTTATGGATTTTTTTTTTTTAAGGCAATGATTTTGTGGCAGTTTTAAAAAGAGTCTTTAGAGATTCATATTGAATATTTATGGATATAATTATATGATTTTGGGATTTGCCTTGAAATAACATACATGGAGGGAAGGTGGGTGGGCATACGAATGAAACAATGTCCTCAGGCTGATAATGCTGAAACTGGGTGATGAGCACACTGGGGATTATTATTATTCTAGACTTTTTTATGTGTTTAAAATTTTCCATAAAACAAAAAACCGAAGAAAATAAAAGGCCTCCATTTCTCCATCAGATTTTCCCAGTTTTGTACTCACTTGCCTTCTGTCTGCCTAGTCTAGTGTCTGCCCCGGTGCCTTCTGGGGCTGACCTGCGAGACTCTGGAAGCAGAGGGTACACCTGTTTGACATCTCTGAACTCGTTACTGGGAGGGGCCCAATGTACGGCCTGTGACACCTCAGGGTGCACTAGGAAATAGGAAGTGCACACGTCCTGTTTCCACCTTGTACATTACACACGGCAAGTTGACTGTTTACCAGAGATGCCTAAATGTTTTCCATGCTATTCCTCATTCCTTGCAGATAGCAGGCGAAACAGGATCTTCCGATTAGAAAAACATGACCCAGCAGAACCACGATCCCCATCACAGAGATGAAGTCCGCCCCTGGTGATGAACGCATTTCTTAGATCACTCAGTCAATCCAGCGCTTGCTGAATTCCCTACCACCTGGAGACCACTGCAGTAAGGATCAAAGCAACAGCAGAACAAGGAGCCTCTGTCTTAGAGAAGCTCCATCCCTAGGCAGGAAGTCAGAATAAAGTTCCAGGGATGACTTGAAGGTACTTATGAATTAACATGCAAATCAAAAGACGAGCTAGATGCAGGTCTGAGTGATAACTCATGGTTGGTGGACCATCAGCTCCTCAGTCAGGGCCTGGGACGGCTGGCAGGTGCTCAGGACACGTCTGACAAGTAAATGTTAAGGGAATGAATCAGTTAGGGACTCCTTCCCACTAATATCTGAGCAAAACTTTAAAGGCAAGGAGGGGTGTGTGCAAGGGAAAGAGGCATTGGTCCTACTGGACTAGCAGTGGTTCTCAACTGGGGCACCGTGCCCCCAAACCCCAAGGGTGTCTGGAATTGAGTAGGGGTGTTTCTGTGTGTTAATAGTGGGGGGGGGGGGTCACTACTGGCAATTAAAGCCTGGGGCCAGGGATGCTACAGCCTTTCAAAGATCAGAAAGGTCCCTTGTACAAGAGGAGCAGTGCCCTTAGAATGACAGGGGCGTTTCTGTGGAGAAACACGTTTCTGCAAAGAAACGAAAGAAATCTGACAGAAGTGACATAGGGAACATTAGCTCTGGGCAAAGGGAACGGAAACTAAATTAATAACAGGAACTTTGATAATTGCCACAAGTGACGTAACCACATTGATTGAGGAACAAACAAAATCTGTTGAACTGGACACCAAAAGTCTTCCATTCTGGGAGGCTTTACCATTTGTTTATGTTATGGGTCTCAAGTCTCAGCTTTCAAACTGCTTTTTCTGCCCTAAATGGGATGATGAGGGAGCTAGCCAGCCAATGTCCAGGCTACTGCGGACAATCTGTGGGGTTGCTGCCCCCTGCTTCTTCCCTGGATTCCCGCGAATCGAGGCCTGAGTGACCTGGCATTCCAGTATCACATAATGAGAGGGGAAAGAATGTCTACAGAGCTCTCTCTTGACGAGGACATCTCAGGGAGGAGAATGAGGCAGGGAAGAGGCGACCAGGAGCCCCCTCCCATACCTCTCTGCTCTCACTCCTTTCTCTCTGCTCTCCTGGAGGCCCAGCTCAGGGGCACCCACAAAAAGCACCCAGCAGGTGAAGGGCAGCCGTCACTGTCCCCAGGTTTGCCTTCTAAAGAGTTCTCTTAACACTCAGCAAGATGGCTTTCATCTTTGGCAGCTATATGTGAAAAAAACTTAACTCCCTACTCCTGCTCTGTTTGGCTAAATGTACGAAACATTATCTTGCACCTCCCAAAGGAAAGATGGCATGCATTATTAGCTCAGTCTCACTGTATCATCTCCGCAGAAGGCACTGGAGACAGACTCTTCCTGGAATAACAAAACGCATGAGATATGACGGGAAGTTCAATAGACATCTCTAACATGGCATCTGAATTTCCCCCTAGCCAGGCCTGCCAATATTTTGGAAGTCTACTGACTTTTTTCCTCTCCCTTTGTGGTAAGAAAACACAGTGTTTGCAGAGGTGCAGCTCAGGAGAAAATTATTTAAAAACAAACACAAAACAAGAAATTCAGCTGCTGGACAATGACTAGAGTGGTACATCCCAGGTGGTGGCACCTGCTGAGGACCACGGCGCAGGATGGCTGTTGGCCATGTCCTCCGATGGAAGCTGAATTGGAGCAGGGAGCAGGGAGCAGGGGCTGCTTTCCTTTAGCAGATGGGCATGATGCTGGTCCTCTTGGCCTTAGATACCGGGCATTGCACCAGTCACTAAACAATGACTTTCTGTGACCCTCATTCTTCCATCTGTCCACATGGCGATTGTTCCCACACACTTAAGACTGTGACACTGAATACCACTGACTGCCTGCATCGCCATTTTTAGTGCCTGATTTTGATTGCGCTATTTAATTTGTAGTTATTTTACTCATCAAAAACTTTACCGAGATTGCTCATCATCCATCAAGAAAGGAGATGAGAATATGTTAAAGTTTCAAATAATTACTTTAGAAAAACCTTCCATTAAATTAAAATTGTACGTCATATACCAAAGCAAAGGCTGCTACATTTTTTTTTAACCGCTCTTTTAAATATACTTTGGCTTTTGGACACTATTTTCTTTTACTGTTGAAAAATAATAAAATAAATAAACATTGGAATTAAGTCACAGAGTAAAAATTATTTAGTGACTCATGGTTGAAGCCTGAAAAACGACTCAGAGTAAACTAGATGAATTGCTTGATTTCCTTCTTTCAAGGGTTGTATGTTACAGAAACCATATTTCTCTCTTCCTAAATCATCATCTCCTCTAGTAACTTCCCTCTCATCCAGTCCTCAGAAAACAGGTGGAGAGGGTTAAGGGAAAGCCTCAATAATCTTTCCTGAGTTCATTACTCATTCACGAATGACTCCAAAGCACAAGCCTATGAGCCTATGAGACAAAACACGTTTTTTTTTTTGCCAGAGATCATCATTTTCCAGGTTCTCTTCAAGAGATGACATCTGTTCTCTGCCTTGGTGCTTGGGAATATAAGCTGTGGAAATTCAGGATTCAATGCATGCTAAATAAATTACTAGTCAGAATCTGTTACTGAAGGAAAAGCAAAGAATGAATTAATTGCCCTATTGTAACTGGGTCGAGCGTAGGGCAGGTTCAGGGTATTGGAGTGGGGAGGAGAGCAATGGGAAGAGCTGCACGTCAGAGGGGTGCCAGCATGATCCAGCGTCTTTCTTACTTTGACAGAAACAGAACCAACACATGCACAGCTCCGTAATTCAATCTGAAGTACCTGTTACGTGCAGGTAACAGGCATGCTAGGGTGACCAAGTAGAAAAGCCCTCACCATATTGTACTTGAAGTCTAGAGGTGAGTCAGACATAAACATTTTAACATACACAAATATTCTAGATTACAAGGGCTATGGCTGAAGAGGAGAGGGTCTATGAACAGAGCAGGAAGGGGGCCTCACTTGGGAGTGGTTGAGGAAGGCTTGCTGAGTAAGTGTAGCTAAGCTGATGCCTAAAGGATGGAGAGGCGTCCCTGGATCAGAGAAATGAGAGTGGGTGGGGAAGAAGAGCCCCACCCAGGCCTAGATCCTTGCTCAGTGGGAGAACTACAAGAAGGCCACTGTGAGGGAACCAGTGAGTGTGGGGGCACTGGCAGATCCCGAGGTCTTTGGAGGTCAAGTTACAGATTTTGGGTACTCTCCACAGGGCAGTAAGAAATCACTGAATGGTTTCCATTAGGGGAAGTTGGATAAAGGATGTATGGGACCTGTCTGTACATTGTGTGTGTCTTCTGATGAATCTATAATTTTAAAAAAAGAGTAGGGAGTGAGGCAGTATGATTAAATTTTTCAAATCTCACTCTGGCTTCTGCGTGGTGAATGGATTTGGGCAGGAAGGGACAGTGTTTAAGGTTGTGGCATTAGTCCAGGCAAGAGGGGTGCACGGCAGCTCTGAGATGGAGAGCGTCCGTGTTACATCTGGAGGCAGAACTGCGGAAACTGGTGGCCGACCGGATGTGGCAGGCCAGGGCTGGTGGCAGCAATGAGTCCTGGGCTCCAGCTTGAGCAGAGTCACTGGCTGGTGGGTGCAGGAGCAGGGGCAAAGATGGAGTTTAATTTTGGGTGGGTGAAGTTCAGGTTGCTTCAGGATGTTCAAGCAGAGATGCTGAGCAGACATTTGGATCCATGAGATCACAACTGTCAAATGACAATGAAATACAAAACATCGATATGTTGTTGACAAATCACAGTCAACAACATCTTCCTGTTCTGGATCTTTATTTTG